ATTTCACAAAATATAACGTTAAAAATAAAAATAGAAATGATTTAATTTTCACGTGACTTCCGCAGTAATTTGGTTTGATTGGATCGGCAACGCGGGACCTCTCTATCGGTCCTCATTTTACTATCTCACAACATATTACAACTACAGTACTCATTCCATTTATAGTATATTTAATTATAACAAAACATTAATAGCATTATATAATAAACACCATTCAGTGTTAGTTGTGTATTCATTAAAAAATAATTACATTGTTTCTTCAAGTAAGTATTTATATATATTCATTAATTCCTTATATATACATGTTAATATACAAATTTAATAAATATATTTTTCTATTTGTAGCCCAATTGGAAGGTAATATTGATATGAAAAAATATGGTTTTATTTTAATAGATAAATCAGAACATTTATTAGTAATATATTATCATGAAAACACAAAAAGTTATGATTGTAAATTAATGGATATTAATTACCCAGATGAGTTTATTGATATTACAGAAAATTTTAATAATCATTTTACAAATGAAAGTCAGGGAAATATTTTATTAAATGAAAGTCAGGGAAATATTTTATTTGGACCAGTTTCACTATATGGTGATATTGCCATAGTTATAGGAAGTCAATTACACACATTAAAAAAATAATTAACAAAGAAAAAATAAACAATGAACAAATAAATTTAAGAAGTAATTATTTTTTACATGTGAAACAAATATTACTAAAAGTTTCTGAAATACTTAGTTTGAGTAAGGGTGGTGATATTATAGAATCAAAATTTACCATAGTAACTGGAGAATTAATTAAATGGCTGATAGAATATAATGATAAGTTTAAAAATGTTAATATAAAAGCAGACAAAAGAATTAATCATGGAATGGGAAAATCTTTAACAATTGATGAATATGGTATTAAAAGTCATGAAAAACTTATATATTGTAAATTGTTAAACAAAGATGATTTAATTTTATTAACAGATGATTGCATGTACATTCTATCAGTTAACAATGAAAATTCTAAAATATTTACAAAGTTTATTAAAAAAAAAGTGAATCTTCATGACAATTATAATATTAATATTATTAAATCAGCTACTGATATTGAAGATTATTTAATTGATTTTAAAGATTGTTTTCGTAATTTTGATTCTTCATATATTGGTAAACATCATATTTTTAGACAACCTTTTAAAGAAATGAGTTTATATATGATAAATGATTTTTATTATTTTAAAAAATTTGCACAAGAAATGATAAATATAGCATTAGATTATAATAATAATAGTATTATGGAAAAAATAATTGATTCTTATCTTAATTATTTTAGAAGTAGTACTTTTTTAGACATTAGTTTATTAAAAATGATTATATTAACATTACCAAGACTAGAAAAAAAACACTATACTTTGATATCAAAATTCTTTATTCAGACTTCAATAATATTACTTTCATTTGATAAAAAACTTCAAAATCAGAAAACTCTCTATAAGGCTATAGATACTAAAGAGTTAGTTTATAGAGAAAAAAACTTTTGGTATTCTTATTATAATTATTTTATTATAGATAGAAATTCAAATGTACCTTGTGTACCATTAACAATCCAATATCCTGGATTACTCACTTACAATATTGATTATAAAAGTTGGAGAGAATTGATATATAAACCAACAAATAGTGTATTTACTCAATTAGATATTTTTGATACTTTAGAATTGTATAAGCATTGGAATATTCAAGTAATCTTGAATCACAAATGGGACAATTTTGGATTTAGATATTACATTGGAATTTGGATTTTTTATACAGCATTTTTATTATGCTTTGTAATTGCAACCTCCATTTCACCACATCAATTATCTGATGAAAAGAGAAGTTCACTATTATTTGTTGCAGTTATCTTTGGATTGCTTCATTTTAGTTTTGAAGTGAGACAATTCATTTGGAACCCTAAGAGATATCTCACTGATATCTGGAATTGTTTTGGTATGATATTATTCCATTAATTATGGTCATTATATATAATATTTATTAATTATTATTTAATAGATCTTGGAGCCTACTTGTTACCAGTCACCACTTCAATTTTATTGTTACTTGATAATAACCCATCATCACATGTCCGGTTAATTTCATTATCAAATTTAATATTAGATTTAAAATTCATGTTATTTTTAAGAGGTTTAGATTATTTTGGAAGATATTTTGCAATAATATTAGGAGTTGCAAAAAAAGTTTTCTCATTTCTAATGATTCTATTTTTAATTATTTTAAGCTTTGCACATGCATTTTACATGTTATTAAAACCAAGTCAGGATTATACGTTAGATAGTCCTATTTTTAATAAGAATGATCCTAATAATCCTTGGAATCTTACTTCTAAATATTTTACATATTTTACAAGTAACAATTCATATAATCAAGATTCAATTATTGTACAACAACCTGATGGCAATACAAATATGTTTGCCAAATTTCCTTTTTCAATATTGGCAATTTATAATTTACTTGCAGGTAAATTTTTTATATTTTTTAAAAATAACAATAGTAATTATATTTGATGACATCATTTAATTTTTTTTAATAGGTGATAAGGGAGCATTTGGATCATGGCAATTACAAAATGATCCATATCTGTCAATGTTATTTATTGTATTTTCATTTATTGTTGTAATATATTTAATGAATTTATTCATTGGTCTGCTTAGTAACCAAATTGAAAAATATAACATAAATGAAGCATTTTTGGTTCAAAAGGCAAAAATTCTAATAGAGATTGAATTACTTTATTTACTTCCCAATCAACGTCGTTGGAAAAAATGGTTTCCAGATAATTTGTAATTATTTTAATTTTTTCAATAAATAAATATCAGTAATTATGACTAATAATTTTTGATAATTTTTTAGATCTTATTATGTGCCAATTAAAGATATTCGAAAGAAAATTGAAGAAATTGCTGATAGCAATGAAGATCCAGAATTTCTTCCATTTATCACTGATGAACTTAGAAAATTTGTAGCTATGCACAAACTACACCTAAATGATCTTAACAACAAGCTAAGTGATCTTAACAACAAGCTAAATGAATTTAAAATCGATCATTATAATTCATTAGATGGGTTTAAAGAAGATAAGAACCATATATTAGACGAGATTAAAAACATTAAAAACAATTCATTAAAGGAGATTAAAGATAATAATAGGTTATTAAATGAGATTAAAGATAATAACAGGTTATTAAATGAGCTTAAAAAAAGCAATAAAGATAATTATGATCTATTAAGTAAGCTTAAAGAAGATAATAACAAGTTATTGAATGAGCTTATAGAATTATAATTGTTAGATTTTAAAAAAAGTGTTATTAAGTTATAAATAAAAAATTATATGATATTGTGTATATCTAATTCAGATTACTATGATGAGTAAATCTCCTTTCCTTTGCTTCATTTCCGTTATTCATATTTTTCACAAATAATAAAATCAAATTACATTTTGGTAATTCTGCCTGCATGTTATTGTCACATTCAAAAGATTAACCATCCTTTATTCCTGAAACAAATTTCTGATCAAGAAAAAAATAAACTCCAAAGAAAATTTTTGCTAATTGTTGAGATGCCATGCCATAATGCTTTTTCTTGGGGAAATCAAGATCACTGATTGCTGCGAATGCTGCCTTATACTATCTTATATGGAACAAAAATAGGGAAAATACAGTGTTCTTATTTATCCCTTCATATTTATAACAGCAAAAGATTGATCTTTATCATCATCAGTAAAAGCTACTTTTATCAACTATATGGCATTCTCTTCTGGTTGTGTTAGATTGGGTACAGCACACTACATGCAGTGAGTATAGTACAAACATTTTAATCATTTTTGATAATGATAATTGTAGTTACATGCATTTTTGGCTGGATGTGTGAGGCCTATAAATTGTACTTTCAAATTCTACTTATGTTTGTACTATACTCACTGCACAAATTGCACTGTCACCGACAATACATGGCGTGCCATTTAGTATTTTAATTATGTGGAGGTTAAATGTAACCCGAGTTAGGTAAATGGTTGTTGGGTAAAATGAATGCCTCCCAATTATAATTATTGTAATAATGTGTGTTTTCCGTGTGCTTTCCGTATTAATGTGTGTTTATGTTTTAATCAAGTTATGTTTAACAAATAAAATGTTTTGTAAGAAAAAAAAATAACCATTTTTATTTGTGAGTTATCAGTTTACTTTATAATAAAAAGGTCCGTTTTTTATTTGCGATTTTATCAATTACTTAATAGTACTCCAGAACTATGAAACCTTATTCTCACATTCCGTTTTAATTCCACATTTACAAATGTCTCTATATTAATATAAACGACACCATGGAAAAAATCCGGATTGCTTACTCAACTAGTTTCTGATTTTATGAAATAAACGGTCATTTACGGAGTGATAAATATAATCACGGAGTGTCATTTTTTATCGGGCCTTTATAAAATGGTTCCTGAAAATCATTTCTATCAAAAACAAATTTGTTGATTCTCCGTTCCTTTTGATCATGTAACTAAGAGAAGGAACAGAATATAATTTTAGAATTAACGACAATTTAGAGTAAGAATGGTTGACAAAATTAAATATGACAAATTCGTCGGCGAATTAGAGGAATAAGATTTTTCTTGCTGAAAATAATGTAGCATCAATCATAAAAATGTTATTGCGAGTTCATGCCTGAGAATTCAATATTTTATTTATAACAAAATTTCTAATCTCAAAAAGCAATTGACTTTCTTTTCAAATATAATCACTAATTCCAATAGCTTCTTTGGTTATCAATCCCTTATGGTGGCTCCTATTACCTCGATCACTATTTCTCAACAGTCCTTTGTTATCTGCCTGAATCAAGAACGTTCAAATATATTTAATATCCGCCTCGGTACTTTAGACTTTATTCTTATATCGTCAGCTCACCCTGGCTGGGGTTTTCACTAATCTTAGGCTCCGACCTAAGTTTTAGGCTTCAACCTGAATTATCTTCTATTACCGCGGGTCTTAGACTCCAACCTAAGTCTTACTAAAATAAAATAAAAAAATATATACAACTATACTTAGTAAAGGCGCTTCCTGGTAAGATAGTAATTAATTAAAAAAAATAATTAAAAAATAGTGACAAATATAAAATAAGAACAATTAATTATGCGCAGGTTTAGTTAGAGATAGATTTATTATCATTACGAAAATATAAAATTCGAAGACAACAACGAGGTCAAGGATAAGGTCAGTTTGTTATTTATTAAATAATTATTATATGGATCGATGATACACGAAGTTAAGAAAATTGCAACATTATTTGTACATGTTAAAGGTTCAATCATCTAGTTCTCTGATTTTCTGGAACTCTTAATTAAATGTATTCCTTAAACATTTATTTAAACCTTCTGTGTCAGAATTATTTCTAAAGTGATCATCAAATTATTTAAATTCCTTCATTTAAATAGAATCTAAGAATTAAAAGTCCATTCTACGTTAGAATTTCAGAATATTTATTTCTCCGTTATTTGGGATATTTTCCGTGAGTCAATTATTTTTATTGGTTTATCACGTTGATCGAGTGACTGGTTTTTTCTTTATTTATATTAATTTTTTTGATTTTAATTTTCCGATGGAATATATTCAACCAATCAAATCCAACGCTTGCTAATCAGATGATGATTATATTTTCATTAGAAATGGGGCTAATGATTAGAAAAAATTATAAAAGTATAAAATTTTTATATTTTACCCGAGAAAAAATTTTTTAATAATACACGTAAAATTAATTGTAATTTTTACTTTAGAATTTTTTTTTTTAGTATAAAATAATAACACGCACGTCATCTAAAAAATGTCTTTCTTGGATTTTTTCTGTAGAGTGAATAATGCTGCTTTCTGATAGAATAGTTCTAAAAGGTCGTTGGAGTAAAGAGGTAATTTATATACCATCCACTATTTATTATCATCTCTTCTTATTATAAGTGAATTAATTATTTGCCATAATAAATCATATAGGAAGATAAGATGTTGATAGAATATGTAAAAAGAAATGGTCCAAGAAATTGGAAAGATGCTGCAGATTATATGAAAAAACGAAATCCTAAGCAATGTAGAGAGAGGTAAATTGCGAGTTTTAACTGTTTTTTAAAATAAATAACTAATCACATGATATATGTATACTAATATGTATTTAGATGGGATGGTCATCTTAAATTTGGTAGTAGGTATTAATTATATTTACATAATTACTTCAATAAATCTATGAAATATACTAATATTTACGAATAACATCATAATAGTAAATAAAAAACCACTTAGTCGTGAAGAAGAATTGGGGGTTATTAGATTACGTGAAGAAGGTTTCAGATGGAGAGATATCACAAAAAAAAACGGCAACGGTAGAACTCACAATTTTATTAAGACTATTTATGTGCAAAAACTATTTAAAGGACCGCACAGACCATTCAAAATACAAAAGAGCATAAAACCAACAATTTATAAAGCCAAAGAAAGGTAAAATCAATTTAATTAAAATTTAGTATTTCAGGATTTTTAAAGTGTGGTTTTTAATTATTAGTCGTCCACCGAAAATGGAGATACTCTTTATTATAAATTGACAATAAAAGCATTAATATCAATATACAATATCTATCAATTTACTTACCATATATATATATATAATAATTTTGGGGTTTTAATAATTAGGAGAGTTGGGAAGAGAGTTAATGGTTTATTTATTTTTGTCTTTTGTATCATATTTTTTTAAAAAATTTGATTCTTAAATTTCATCATTTATTTCCTTTTCATGTAAAGTAAATTTTTGAAAAATCTTCTGACAATTCTATCTATTTGACTAGAGGTTGCGCCCAATAATATTCATTGAATATATGGAATGGACATTTGATTTTTTTTCATTGATTGACCGAATATAAACAAGAATTTCTCTAAGACCAGAACGTTTATTCCCATTTAAGTAATTAGTTCAGCGTGAATAGTACTATAATACTAGTGCATAATGCGAATATTTGTTTGGAATAACTGATAATATATATAAAATTGTGCATCAGATGAATAATTCATGTACTAACAAATAGCTCTGGATTATTTTTACAATAGAATCTTATATATTCATTTTCTAATTAGAATTGTATATTCAATCAGATTTCCGAATGTTCAGAATTATAAAATAAGGAATAGTAATGCTAGTAGATAAACAGTGTAATATCATTCATTAACTATTTACATTACATCTTCTGTTTTTTTTTTTAATCTAATGTCTTGTTTGTTCTTATTAAGGTTTTCAGTTGAAGTCTTTTTATCATTAACACGACATCCAGTAAAAATCAATATTCCACTATTTCTTCTTCTTGGAAAATTACGTTACTAATCGTTGTTAATACTCATTAGTTAACCACCAACACTAGTCCTAACCTTGCTTGCTTATTAAAGCAAATAAAACATGGCATTTTTACCAAAGCTCCACAATTTTTATCTTTTACCAAGGCACTACTACGCTTGTTGCTTTTATCAAACAAAGTCAACGTTTTTGGTTTTATTTTTATTTTTTAAAAGATTAATTTTATTTAATAAAAATAATGATTCTATTACAGAGCTTTGTTTTTATTAGAATATTAATTATCTATTGCTTTTTCAAGAGAAGGCCAAAAGTTATTCCCTATTCAATTTTCATTAATCACTACTACTACGATATGGAAATTAAAGATTTGTTATTGCAAAGTAGCTTAATCAACCAATATATATTATAAACTTCTATAATTATTTACACGGTAACTTGATAATAGTTATAAAAGGCTTTTGCATAAAATAATAATTTTATGGAAGTAGGTCTGCACTGACCCTGGAACATAAAGCATGAAATTGTCCGAATCCTTAATCGATGATTTTATCTACCTGATCATATATCACGTTATTAATATTAACATAAAAAATGTTTGAGTTTAGTATTAAATAAGTGTGTGGGAACTTAAGTTGCATTCAGTAAAAGAAAAATATTGCTCCTTGGGAACAACTGATGAAGGTTGGGTGAGACACACAAAAATAAAAATTGAAGAGAAGAACCTTGGAATATGTTATTTTTATGTTATTTTTATATTTTATTCCCTTTAAAGCAATTTTACTTATGTCAAATTTTTTGCTTAGTCATTGTTGACTTAATGGCAGCGAATTTGACGCAACAGTGTATAATAGTGACAATTAAATGTCTATCATTTTAGTGTTAGTCGCCAAAAACCATTTTGAAGAGGCGAAAATCAAAACTAAAATCAAAAGTTATATATTAAAACTACATCAAAAGTCA